CTCTGTGGTACAGGCTCAGTGTGTCTTTTTCTATATGGTTGATGGACAAAACATTTTTTACAAAGACAGGATCACATCAAACACATCATTTTGTAACATGCTGTTTCCCGTGCTATATGATCAGTTATTCAATGTCCTAACATATGTATAAAACATTATTTATTAATTTGAGCAATCCTAGAAGTGTGTTGGGACTACCATGGGTCTACTTTTCTATGCTTTTGAAGGGTTCGATTATCACATCTAAAGGTGACAGCAAAGACCCAGAAACTTGCACAAGAAGTCTTCAGTTAAAAATTGATTGTGCTCAAAGTATACTTTCAGTCTTTTGAAACTTGAAAGACACCTTCCTAAGAAACAATGCTAAAAAGAGTAGTGGGTTCTCAAGATCAGAGTAATATCTACAATGAACTTACAACTTAGAGTGCCTGGTAGCTGAAACACCAGGCACTCTAAATGAATTATAAGTAAAAAGATAATGTTACTGTAAAACTAGTTATTAAATAAAACAGATTACTTCATTTACCTGAATGTCTGTGCCTTAAAACAAAGTGCCAATTTAGCTGCAGAAAATGGTAAATGAAGTTCAAAACTACTATGAAAATTTTGAAAGAAACTTCTATTTTTTCAAGGCTCCAAAAACTGGTATTAGTGCGTTATATGTTGAATTGAGTCCCCCTCAAAAATGTTGAAGTCTTAACTCCCAGTGCTGGTGAATGTGACTTTTTGGAAATACAGTATTTGTACAGGAGATCAGTAAGGTGAGCCCTCATCCAATATGACTGACGTCCTTATTAAAGGAGGAAATTTGAACACAGACACACACATCATGTGAGGATAAAGGTAGAGATTGGGCTGGTGCCTGCAAACCACCAGAAACTGGGAAAGAGGCATGCAACAGATTCTCTCTCACAGCCCAAGAGGGAGCCCATCTTGGAATTCTACCTGTTGGAGCTGTGAAACAAGAAGTTTCTGTAGCTTAAGCCACCCAATTTATACAGAAGCCCTAGGAAACTAATAAACTATGAGTCTTCATTATTTCTAACTGGATTACATCTCAGGATTTCTCTCTTCCTTCATACAAATATGCCACATCTCTATGCCAACAGCCATCAGCCATGGCTGGAGTGGGGCCAGGGCCCACAAACAGAAGGGTGAGAAGGGGAATATGAAAGAAAAGAGATAGTAGAAAGTGGAGAAAGACATTTGCTCTGTCTTTCCCTGGGTGACTGGACAAGAATTAGGCAAGAAAGGGGAAACAGAGAATTAAAGCCAATGAACACTGCAAAGTGAGAAAAATGGCCTGAGAGACATGTAATTGTATGAACTGTGGACGGTCAAAAACAGAAGAAAATTTTTTAAAAGACAAGGGAGCACAGGCTGGGAGAGTGCTGAGCCAGTTTCCTGGATAATAAGTGAGATCCATGAAGTTGCAAAAAAAGTCAGGTTTTGCCCACCTACGACTACGGGACCTGCAGGAAACAAGTCGTCTGCTCCCTTGTCGACTGAGGCAAATGTTACAAAGCTTGACCCCAAGCAGTTGCAGCTGAAGGAGGACGTGCACCCAGAAGGGATGGCTATGTCCAGGGAAGAGACCTTTGTTCCTGCTGCTCCTCAAAGCCATCCTGCTAGAACACAGGCACCTTCCTCTTTGAACCAGTGGCACAAAGCAGTGTGGCTACTTTCCCAACTGTAAACCATGATCAGATACCTCACAAAACTCTTCCAGGAGGCAACAGTGGTTTTGGTCTTTCTAGTGGACAGAAGCTGCTGGAGACTTTCCTCTAACTCCAAAGAAGTCACACTTTACCTGGCTCTCAGAAACAGCTCAAAAAGTTCCAGACGTACTTGAATCACAAATCAGGGAAAATCCATGTGGATGGATTATGTATAAATCAGGGACTAGGGTGAGGAAAGAACAAAGCATTGAAGGAAGCACCCATTCACAGGGCTTGAACAATCCTGGAGTGAGTGTCTTCTTACATTTTGCGCCTTAGTTCCCTCATCCAAGTCCCAGTCGTGGTGAAACTAAAGTTTTTCTTTCATTCATTTGTTAATTGATCCAGTTGAATGGGTATATGGTAAAAAACTATCCACTGAGCTCATACTATAGCCCATTCTGGTTGAGAGATAAGACATGTCCATTAAAAATTGTACGGATGGACTTAGAGACAGGCTCCAGTTGACACACTGGGAAGGTAGTTGATTTCCTCATTAAAGTAAAAAGAGAAAATTGCTGTAAGAGAAGGGCAAATTAATCCTATGAACCACACACTGTATGATTCAATTTACATAAAATGTCCACAATAGGGCTGCGCACGGTGGCTCACACCTGTAATCTCAGCACTCTAGGAGGCCACAGCAGGCAGACCAAAGTCAGGAGACTGAGGCCATCCTGGCTAACACAGTGAAACCGCATCTCTGCTAAAAATACAAAAACTTATCCAGGTGTGGTGGCATGTGCCTATAGTCCCAGCTACTCAGGAGGCTGAGGCAGGAGAATCACTTGGACCCAGGAGGCAGAGGTTGCAGTGAGCCAGGATCATACCACTACACTCCAGTGTGGGCGACAGAGTGAGATTCCATCTCAAAGAAAAAGAAAATTTAAATTTTTAAAAAATGTCCACAATAGACAAGTCTATAGAGACACAAAGTAGATTTTGGTTTCTCAAAGCTGGAGATGGGGGTAGGAAGAATGAGGCTGTGGCTCACACTTGTAATCCCAGCACTTTCGGAGGCCAAGGCAGGCAGATGCGAGATCAGGAGTTCGAGACCAGCCTGGCCAACATAGTGAAACTTCATCTCTACTAAGAATACAAAAAAATTAGCCAGGTATGGTGGCGGGTGCCTGTAATCCCAGCTACTGGAGAGACTAGGGCAGGAGATTCGCTTGAACCTGGGAGGCGGAGGTTGCAGCTAGCCAAGATCATGCCACTGCACTCCAGCCAGGGCAACAGTGCAAGACTCCATCACAAAATAAATAAATAAACAATGAAACAAATAAAAAAATAAGGAGTTTCATTATAGGGTGAAGAAAATATTCCAATATTGATTGTGATGGTGTTTATACAATTAAAAACATTGATCTGTACACTTGGGTGAAATGCAATGAGTTTTAATCTCAATAAAACTTTAATTTTTTAAAAGCATATGGTAGTTCACAGTAGAGATTGCTTCCAGCTATAACCTAAGGAAAGGCTTCAAGGAAAAGATGAGTTCTAAGCTGAAGAATTTGACTCTATGGAAACAGAGTAAGAACATTTTTTTAGCGATGGGATCTCACTACGTTGCCCAGGCTAGACTCAAGTAGCTGGGACTTCAGGTGCACAGCAGTGTGCCAGACTAAGAGTAAGAGCATTTTTGGCAGGGAGAACAGCAAGAGTGAAGCAGGGAAGCAGGAAATTATAGGATGCATACAGGAGACAGTAAGCCATTCAGTTCACCTGGTGTGTGGGGTCCACGGCAGGGATGGTGTTATTTTTTTATTTTTTATTATTTTGAGATGGAGTTTCGCTCTTGTTACCCAGGCTGAATGCAATGGCGCGATCTCGGCTCACCGCAACCTCCGCCTCCTGGGTTCAGGCAATTCTCCTGCCTCAGCCTCTCGAGTAGCTGGGATTACAGGCAAGTGCCACCATGCCCAGCTAATTTTTTGTATTTTTAGTAGAGATGGGGTTTCACCATGTTGACCAGGATGGTCTCGATCTCTTGACCTCGTGATCCACCCGCCTCGGCCTCCCAAAGTGCTGGGATTACAGGCTAGAGCCACCGCACCCAACCTGCTGTTATATTAAAGAAGTTCTTGAGCCAGGCATTCAACAGGGTTGAGGTAGGAGGATCGCGAGCTCAGGAGGTCGAGGCTGCCATGAGCTGTCATCATGCGTCTTCATTCCAGCCTAGGCAAGAGAGTGAGACCCTGTCTTATAAAAAAATAATAATTAATTGAGAAGGTCTTGAATTCAAAGTGCAAGTATCCAGAATTTGAACCATAAACAACCGGAGGATAGTCTTATCTGAGCTGAGCTTAATTTATATGCTGAAAGTATGAGAGACTAGTAGGGAAGAGACCAGAAATAGGAAGACTGCTAGAAGATTGTGCAACATCCCAGTTCATCTGCCACAAATGTGGAGGAAGCAGACACTAGCAGTTTCTCCAATTATAGAGACTGTGGCCCATGCAGACAGCAAAGGCAGGGAGATGCAGCATGCCATACAGCCTGGCTCTGATATTGGCAGACACTTTAGCAGGCTTAGGGACTTTAACTGCAGAGAAAATGTGAGTTAGCACTAAGAACGGTGAATCAGCCCTATGGGGCTGAAAATTGACAGCATTGGGATAAGTGGAACTGAGAAGAGAGCAAAAGTAGAAAATGAAAGTTCAATTTTTTTTTTTTTAAAGCTCTTTGGAAATGAGGAAGAAGTGGTGTCAGCAAAGAAGCATTAGGATGTACAGGGTCAAAGAAGACAAGGGAAGGTTTGGCAAGAAGAGCAGATGTGGTGCCGTTATGCTTAAATTCCAGAAGGAAAGCACCGGGGTAGGTACAAGGTTGGGCTGGCAGAAGAATAGCAGTTCAGAGATCATTAACTTGGTCCATTTGATTTCCCAGGCAACCAAAGACACCATGGAATATAATCCGCCTCCAGGAGAGTGTACCTTTTGTACAAGGCAGGGTGGAAATAAGTACGCACCTAAGCTCTAGACTTTTGCTCTATCCTCTCTGCATTTTGGTGTGGATGAATAGTTTGGGAAGAAAGGAAAGAAGAACCAGCAGTTTTAGGCATGTGCTACACAGTGTGTTTATTAACATTGTTGCTTTCAATCTTAAAGCATGGATTGGAGACAGGCAGTATTACCCACACTTCATAGATGCTGAAAGTAAATCTCAGGCTGAGTATGGAAGAAAAGGGAGTTCATCAAATAAGCAGGAGCCTATCTGAAATCTGATGCATCTGGTCCTAGAGCCACCCTTCCATTTCCCCCCAGTCCCCACCTGTTTAAACTTCTCTGCCAGCGGGAGGAGGGAGGGCCAGAGCAGCCTAGGGCCAGGAGAGATGTGAAGAACTCTAGGTGGTGACCAAGAGAAGGAGCAGAGTGTGCCTTTAGTTCATATGAACTAGAGGGAGCTGGTATTTGCACAGCAGTCAGGGTCACATGACTGATCATGGTACAGTGAGAAGTTCTTCCTCCCAGGGCAAAGTCACAGTTTGTTTCTGTTCAATCCAGATTCTTCCAGTAAAAGCTTCAACTTCCCACACTGAAGCTGAGAGCCTCCCAAAGTGCTGGCTACCTGCTGAGCACCACTGTAACTTTGAGACAGTGGTAATTTGACCCTCTGCAATTGCTGTCCCCTTCCTGCCAAAGTCCTTTCCGTGCCTGCTGACGCTTGGGTGTGCCTTTGGGCTACTGACTTTCAGCTGGAACTTGAAGGTAAGAATATGGCTTAAAATAAATTCTGTACCTAACTCGTTAGTTTACTTTTAGCCGTTAGCCACATAGGTGTGACTTTATAGATGCATTTACTCAAACCAGAAAAGATCCTAAGAATCTGATAAAATAATATAAAAAGAACTTTGTAACCAACAGCCTCCCCCCTAAAAATTCAGACCTAGAAATTCAGGACCTCAGGCAATCACCTCCCAAAGCTCTCTCCCCTGTAATATTATCTCTTTCTTCCTCCCTGATCTTTTCCCAGATACCCACCCTGTCCCATCCTTCTTCAGGGCCAACTCAACTTCTCTAGCCAAGACCATTTCTTCTTCCATGAGAGCGCTCCTCTTACGCCAGCCTTATAAGCAAGTGATTGTAAGACGTGCAGTAAGAATTATAAAATTTGCACACAAACTACTATAGGATCCCATGGAAAGGAGTGATTATTTCTGTTTACAGAGTCAGGAATGCCTCCGCAAAAGTGGTCATAGGGATCTGGCCTGATAGGATGAAAGGTTCCTGCTGGCTGCTCAACGGGAAATGTATGTGTCTACATGCCTGCCTCTCCAAGGGCAGGAACCATGTGCTGATGTGCCCCAGCAATGAGAGCCCTGGGGAAGTTGAGAAAGGCTTGGAACTTATCCCATGGGAACTGGTGGGTCCTTCTGCTCCCACTGCACTACTCACTTGCCTCAAGTCTCTTGCTGCACCTCCTCTGAGCTTTAGCCAGGTTCTATCACTCCCCGTGCAGGCCTCCAACAAGAGCAATACAGTGGGATCCATAGTACACTGGACAGCCAAGCCCTTAATGACCCTGGTCTTCAGCAGCAGCAGGTGCCCTTCCACACACATTCACAGCCATACCCAGGCCTTCTGTCATCAGCTACCTGCACAGAGCACAACACCTACAACAGAGCTGGCCAATGTACGAGAATGATTCTCAGGACATTATTTCCAGGCCAGAGCCCTAAGCTCACATGTACACCTGCCTACAGGCCCCTTCCATTGGGAAGTCCCACAAGTACCTCAGACTCAACCCCAGAATTGGACTCACCATCCCCTTGCCCCCACCCTATACAGGACATTCTCGCTGTGTCCTCACATGGTCATTCCTCCATGTGCACACATCCCTGGTGTTGCCTAGTGTGTCCTAATCTCCTGTCATTCAATACCAGATTGAATTAGGTCTCATCCTAGTGGCCTCGTTTTAACTTAATCACCTCTTTAAAGACATTATCTCCAAATACAGCCACATGCTAACATACTATGGACTAGGACTTCAACATATGAACTTAGAAAGACACAATTTGAATCCGGCTAATATGTGTCTTAGTCCATTTTGTGTTGCTACAACAAAATACCTGAGGCTGGGTAATTTATAAATATCAGAGGTTTATGGTCAGGCACAGTGGCTCATGCCTATAATCTCGGCACTCTGGGAGGCCAATGCCGGTGTATCATCTGAGGCCAGGAGTTCAAGACCAGCCTGGCTAACATGGTGAAATACTATTTCTAATAAAAATACAAAAATTTAGCCAGGCATGGTGGCACATACCTGTAATCTTACCTACTCAGGAGGCTGAGGCAAGAGAGTCACTTGAACTCAGAAGGGGGAGGTTGCAGTAAGCCAAGATTGCACCATTGCACTCCAGCTTAGATAACAAGAGCAAAACTCCATCAAAAAAAAAAAAAAAGGAGGTTTATTTGAAATTATGATTCTAGTGGCTAAAATGTCCAAGAGCATGTGCTCACCTTGCGGTGAGGGCCATGCTGCATCAAGACATGCTGAGAAGTGGAAAGGCAAGCAGGCATGTGCAGAGGGACCAAAGTCACCCAATTCTGGGAGATGGCATTAATCTACTCATGTGGGATCCACGCTTGTGCCTCAAACACCTCCCAAGAGACCCCATCTCTCAGGACTGCTGCACTGGCAGTTAAACTCCAACATGAGTTTTGGTGGGGACTATCTACATCCAAACCACAGCAGTACCCAAAAACTGTTTCGTAGTTTTACGTTCACATATATATATATGTGTACTTTTTGTTCATAACTATGTATAAACAGTTTTCTGTCACTGCCATAACAGATTGTCAAAAATTTAACAGCTTAAAACAACACAAGTTTATTATCTCACACCTAACAGATGTCTCTGGGTAAAATCAAGGTGTTGGCAGGGCTGTGTTCCTTTCCCGAGGCTCTGAAGAAGAATCCCTTCAAACTCATTCCGGTTGTTGGAAGAATTCAGATGCGTGTAACTGTAGGACAGAGGTCCCATTTCCCAGTTTGCTGAGGTTCATTCTGTGCTTCTGGAGGCCATGCCTTGTCTTGTTTTCCCCTTTGTCTCTAAGCCAGTAATGGCAAGTTGAGTCATTCTCACGCTTCCAATCTCTCCAGCCACTTCTTCTGCCACATGACTCTGACTGGCTCCTTTCTACCCTTGTCCACTTCTAAGTGTCCTTGTGGTCACATTAGGCCCAGCTGGATAATCCAGGACATGCTCATTGCCTTAAGGTCCTTAACTTAAATTCCATCTGCAAAGCCCTTTGCCACAAACTGTAATGTGTTAGGAATTAGGACATGGACATCTTTAGGGCCATTATTCTGCCTACAACAATATATATTTGAAAAAGACAGATAGACGTACATCAAAATAATAACAACTCTTGTTTGGTAGATGTTTTCCTTGCACATTTGGACTTTTTCCAAATTTTCTGCAAGGTATACCTTTAAATTCACCATAAAAAAACAAGAGGCAATTTTTTAAAAAGGAACATAGGACTTGTAGACAGATTTTGGCTGTGATCCTGGGCAAGTTATTGATTATGTGACTCTCAGCTTCTTCACCATGAATTAAGAGAGAAAAAGAAAAGTCCATGAAGGACCTAACAGAAGGCCTACAAGAAATGTTTGTTCTTATCCTTCCTCTGCTGAAGTTGATCACACCATAATTTCAGGAGTACTATCCAAACTCCACCTTCTTTGACATATTATAAATACAGCTGCTTGTCATATTTAAAAATTTTCAGAAATAATTTCTCTTCTATTTTCTGAAAATTGTCTTCATCTTAAAGGGCTCAGCTCAATCTAGAAGGAGAAGCTGCCATGAACACCGACCTCGCTAATCTGGGCACCTAATTTTCTCATCCATTTTATGAAGTAACTGAGCCAGATTTTTTTCAACCTCTAGCAAGCACATACTGTTACATTTTCTGTAAGGACCCTTTCAGATCTGAAGTTCTATCACTCATATTAAGCAAAAGCTAAAATAAATTACTGTGTAGCATGCACAGGGCCCAGCGATGACAAATTGAAGTGTTTGGTAAATGTTAGCCTTATCAAGTAGCCAGCTATCCTTCAGTAATTGCGGCTTACTTCTTCTGCTTTCTCCTTTTGGTGCATTTAAAAGTCTTCCCTCAATACAACAATGACAAAAAATCACACACATACAAGGCAAAACTGGGCAACTGAGTTATTACTCCTACAAATGGTCAATAAGCACATGAGAAGATGCTTGACATCATTACTCATTAGGGAAATGTGAATCAAAACTGCAATGAGCTGTTTATTACCCCACACCCAATAGGATGGCTATTATCAAAAACAGACACAGGAAACAGTAAGTGTTGGTGACAATTTGGAAAAATTAGAACACTTGTGAACTGCTTGTAGAAATGTAAAATGGTGCGACTGCTGTGGAAAATGCTGTAACAGATCTTCAAAATATTAAACATAGAATTACCAGATGACCTAGCAATTTCACTTCTGAGTGTATTCCAAAAAGAATTGAAAGCAATAATTCAAAGAGATATTTGTACATCAATGTTCACAGAGATCTAATTCACAACAGCTGAAAGTTTCCATCAATAAATGTATGGATAAACAAAATGTAGGCCGGGCACGGTGGCTCACACCTATAATCCCAACACTTTGAGAAGCCGAGGTGGGTGGATCACCTGAGGTCAGGAATTCAAGACCAGCCTAGCCAACATGGCAAAATCTCTTATGTACTAAAATTACAAAAGTTAGCTAGACATGGTGGCAGGCACCTGTAATCTCAGCCACTCGGAAGGCTGAAGCATGAGAATTGCTTGAACCCTAGAGGCAAAGGTTGCAGTGAGTCAAGATCACGTCACTGGACTCCAGTCTGGGCAACAAACTGAGCCTCTGTCTCAAAAAAAAAAAAAATATATATATATATATATATATATGTATACTATATTAAAAATACATATAAAATATATATTTTTATATACATATAAAATACATATACATACAAATAATATGTATATATATTTTACATGTTTTTTTTTTTGAGACAGAGGATTACTTTGTGGCCCAGGCTGGAGCAACAAAAAATATATATAAATATGTATAATATATTAAAAATAAATATAAATATATAATATATAATATGAATTATATATCTATTATATGTATTTTTAATATATTATACATATTTATATATTTTTTATATATTTATAAACACACACACATAGAATTACCAGATGACCTAGCAATTTCACTTCTAAGTATATTCCAAAAAGAATTGAAAGCAATAATTCAAAGAGATATTTGTACATCAATGTTCACAGAGATCTAATTCTATGAAATAGAGAAGGAAATCCTATCACATGCTACCACATGGACGAGCCTTGAAGAGATTAAGCTTTCAATTATGACATGGAAAGTAAAATGCTTTTTGCCAGGAGCTTAGGAAACCTCAGGAATTGGAAGTTATTGTTTAATGGATACAGAGTTTCTATCTGGGAAGGTGAAAAACTTCCGGAGATGGAGGGTGATAATGGTTGCACAACAATGTGAGTATACTTAATGCTTCTGAGCTGTACACCTATAGATAGATGGTTAAAATTATCAATTTTATGTTATGTGCATTTTAACACAACTTCTTTAAAAAATTTCCTCTACGCCTTTCCCATAGGGACCCCCAACCCTGAGACACTATGGCCCTGACCTCAGAATTGGGGAAACAGATAAAATTGAAAGAAGTGGAGGGGACCCTCCTGCAGCTTGCAACTGTGGACAACTGGAACCAGATACAGAGCTTCGAGGCCAAACCAGATGATCTGCTCATCTGCACCTACCCTAAAGCAGGTGATTTCAGGGCAAGAGGGACAGCAAAGACCTGCTGAGCCAGCATGGGCTGGTCTCTTAAGTTAGAATTCCCCTTGACAGGAAATCTGCTCCTTCTTATTGTTCCACAATGGAGTTCGGGGCTCAGGGCTAGGCAGGATACCTGATATCCCTGGGTTTTCCAGGAAAGCTGCTGTGCTCTGCCATGCACTGCTCTTGGGTGGGCCAAGCCTTGCCTGTGCTCCTCCACTCCCTGCAGAGATCCTAAGTCCATCCCACGTGGACTTCCATCACTCATGGTTAACAGGATACTGACCCGAGGAGAGGTGGATGGAAACACCAAGCTCCACATCCCCTCTGTTTACTCAGGACTCTTCAGGGAAGATTGTCTAACAGCTTCTCATCCTTCTTTTCTGAGCCTCAGGAACAACGTGGATTCAGGAAATTGTGGATATGATTGAACAGAATGGGGACGTGGAGAAGTGCCAGCGAGCCATCATCCAACAGCGCCATCCTTTCATTGAGTGGGCTCGGCCACCCCAACCTTCTGGTGAGAGCACCTCCCTCTTTCTTTCTTCCTGCTTTCTTTCCCTCTCTTCTGTTTTCCCCGATCTTTTCTCACTTTTCCCCTCTTCTCTCTATCTCTCCCCCTTCTCCCTCCTCTTCTCTCTCTCTCTTTCTCTCTCGTTTTCACTGTCACGTGTTTCCATGTTTCTTCTTTTTATCTTCCTCTCACCCTCTGTCTACATATTATTTAATATTGTTTACCGAAAGTGAATCACCAAGTGAAAAGGATGTATGCTAGGGTCAGATTCTGCCTTATTTTCTTCTTAAGCCCTCCCCCAATCATGTGCAACTGTAGAACATACAGAAGATGTACAAAACTGTAAGCCATTCACCCCTTCTTCTCTCTATACCCCACCCTGATAAAGCTCAGTGCACCCAGGAGGGTGTATAAGAATTGGTAATTCACACACACACACACACACACACACACACTCCAATGCGTTTGAAACCAATTATTTCTGTTCAATAGAGAAGCCTTTTTCAGGTAATGCTCAACCTGGAAGTGTTTCTCTTCACATAAAAAAAAAAGAAGAAGAAGAAAGCTAAAAGATATAATCAAAAGGCTATATTTCAGGTAACTGGGAGAAGATGGAAGTACTTTGCAAAACAAGGACAGGAGGAAGGCCTGCTTCCCTAAGTTGCAGCATTGCAGAGATCCATGTGATAGAAAACTGGGAACACAAGTAGCTGAAGCATGAAAATGTAGTCAATGAAATTCTAGGATGAAGTCTAGGCTTGGAGCAACTGGAGACAGAGGTCTCATAAATTCCTAAAAATGTCTTAGATAGAAAGTCCCTGGTCTGATGCATACAAGACACTTGTAACCTGTGCAAGGTGTCTCCAAGTCAGAATAGCCTTAAAGGATTTTGCTTTCCCCTGTGATCCTGCCATCCAGCCCCTCTGGCTCTTCTGGCTCTCAATAAGAAGAGAATCGTCACTAGGTAGGTAACAACTGGCTTTGCAATCCAGTGCCTGTTCCCTGCTGCTCTGAACTACCTGTGGGGCTCTGACCCCATAAACAGATCAGCCTCTGTCTGCTTAACCGTGATCCCACTCCATGTGCTATCAGGGGCTGCTGTTTTGTGTGTGTCTGATCTTCTGCTCCTTGAGCAGCAGGATGGCATAACGGTTAAGGACTACCAGGGTTTAAATCCCAACTCCATCACTCACCTCACGACATTTAAATCCTGATTCTGTCACTCACCTCACAATGTTTACATAATCTCTCTGTGTTTCAGTTTCCTTAGCTGAAAAGTGTGGATAAAATCAAGGCCTTGTTGTGAAGATTAATGAATTCAATATTTCAATATAGGTAAAAAGCTTGAAGCAGTGCCTGGCACTGCCTATCTACATGTTAGGTATCTCTTACTAACCACCTCTCCAGGCCCCATGATGTGTTCCCTGATTATCTTAGACCAGCATTTTTTGTTTATTTAAAGATGGGGTCCAGCTCTGTCACCCAGGCTGGAGTGCAGTGGTGACATCATAGCTCACTGCAACCTGGTACTCCTGGGCTTAGGCAATCTTTCCACCTCACCCTCCTGAGTAGCAGGTACTGCAGAGGAACACCACTGGGCCTGGCTAATTTTTTAATTGTTTGTAGAGTTAGGGTTTCACTCTGTTTCCCAGATTGGTCTCAAACACCTGGCTTCAAGCAATCCTCCTGCCTTGGCCTCCCAAGCCACTGGATTCACAGACATAAGCCACCACACCCAGCCCAAGAACAGCTTTTGATCTTTGTTCTACCTCTTGCCCCTGCCCCTGACCAATGTCTTACCTCTGACAATTTGGGAGATTAAAGAAAGAGGAGAGGCCTAAGCAAGATTTCTAATGAAGCATTCTTGGCAGTGGAGAGCAGAGTGTTCAATTATTAAATCAGCATACAGGATAGAGCTATAGAATCTGCAAAAAGGATAGTAACCAATCGCCCAGTTTCACACGTCAGACAGAGGCAACCTGGCCTCTTTATGAACCAAGGTGCCTTGCGTCCAGGACTCATAAAGAGTCTCGGGTTTCTGAGAGTAACAAACAGTCTCAGGCTTTATGATCTGCCTGGCCACAGACAGCTGAATACTGGCTGGAGAGTCAGCTGTGCAGTGGTTTTCTTTCAGAGTAGATGATCCCTGCGCGCAGAGATGAGGAGCACCCCTGGGAGGAGACTAGTTGCTGACATAGACTCATGGTTGTTGGCCAAAGGTCTCAACCACTCTTGGAGCGGTCTGGCATGGGCAGGCACCACTAGTTAATGGACTAGCTTGTGCTCTGCATGGTCAGTCTCCCTTCCAGGCCCCCTTCCACTCTCCCATCCACTCCCAGCCTCAGAGCTGTTCTGTGACAAAACAGATCACATCTGTGACCCACAAAGAATTGATTTGGAAAGAAGACTTGTGTCCACGTGTGTGCACATGCATGCATGTGTACGAACAGTATATAGGTGAAACCTAGAAATGATCCACTCAGTTTCAGCAAACATCTATGCTCAAGGCCCGTGCTGCCATTAGACTTCACACCTGCTTGCCCTCAATAATTGTGGTCCCATGGAAGAAACCAATGCAGATGATATAACAACGAGCATGGAGCACTACTGGCAGAGTGAGGGGAACATGGCCAAAGAACAGTTCCTGGAAGTGACACCTAAATGATAAACTGTTGACATTACTAATTTTCTGCTTCTCTCTCCTGTCAGACTGCAAACTCTTTGATGGCAAGAAACAAGTTCTGTTTAACTTTGTACTCCCATGGGGCTGTTTCTACAGTATTGGCTGGATTGATTTATCCCACACAGCCATATGCAATTTGGCTTGTATCCCAAGGCTAGGATCTTAGTATAGCTTTTGAAGGCCAAAAATAACCCCTTTTGCCCCCTTATTCCCCACTAGTGAACTTGGGAATGGGCCCTGCAGCCTGGGCTGTGTCATGCACTCTCTCCACTATGAGTCTGAACAACCATCGTGGCGGGTGAGGCCACTCCAAGGGGCTTTTCTGGATCATTGATGAGAGAGAGGTGAGGCGAGAGGGTGGGAGGGTAGAATGTACAATGTACCTATGTTTATAAAAGAAAACACTGGTCAACTGCTTTATTTAAAGCTCCAACTCCACAGCATCTCTCTCTCGTGTAAGGGTTTTTTACAGAAAAGTTGGAGTTGGAGCTGGGCTGAGCCCACCAAAAGGGCTGGATCAGGAGTAGGAGTGGGTCTTCCTACTAGTCATGAGCAGAAAGGATGACTGTGTGCCATCTGAGGACCTTGATGACTGAGTACAGACTTCCCAATTAGAAGACTAGGTCTCTTTTAGGTACTAAGTGGTTACTGCTCTCAGGGCATTAAATTGGGTGTGATAGGAAAGAGGAGAGCCATGAGCATCAGGAAGAAAATCAACTGGCCTGCAGATCTCACTTTCTGGCAGATTCCCTGGATTTGTTTTCCAGCTTGGGACTGACAGTCCAACTCCACCCATAACTTTCCCTTCTGTCCTCTGTATCTGCTAAGGTTTATTATCGTTTTCATCTCTGTGTTTCCCTACATTGTGCTTCCCTACATTGGCTTCTTTAGCTCCACTACTATTTTTCTTTTCAGCTATGTATGCTCTGCTATTTTACCCTATTCATTGTAGGTTTTCATGTCCAGACACTTCATAAATCTTCCTGGTCTTTTTAGTAGTCTCTTGTTTCCTTGCTCATGTTTTCAACTTTCTCTTTTATTTCTTTGCACATTTTTTTGAGATGGAGTCTCATTCTGTCACCTAGGCTAGAGTGCAGTAGTGCAGTCACAGCTCACTGCAGCCTCAACCTCTCCAGCTGAAGCTATCCTCCCATCTCAGCCTCCCAAGTAAGTAGCTGGGACTACAGGTGCATATCGCCACACCCAGCTAATTTTTGTTTGTTTTTTTTTTTTTTTGGAGACAGGATTTCACCATGTTGCCCAGGCTGGTCTCAAACTCCTAAGCTCCAGCAATCCACCTTCCTCAGCCTATCAAAGTGCCAAGATTACAGATGTGAGCCACTGCACCTGGTCTTCTTTGCATATTTTAAACATAGTTATTTATATTCCCCATCAAGGCATCCAATAACTGAGGTCACTAGGAGTTTCGTTCTTCCACGTGTTTTTTACTAGCTCCTGTCCATAGAGCTTTTCCTTCATTTATTTTGTTATTTTGTAATTTTGTATAAAGAGCTCTTTTCTCCCTGTCTTGATCTCACACCTGCATTGGAACATTTCCAATCTAGAATAGTTTAAGTTAACTTCTGGTCCAAGCAGGTAGTATGATTTCATATCCATGTATATAGTATGAAAACAGAATTATGATTGTGTGTTCTCAAAAAAGCCTCTTTTTCTGCACCCAGAAAGAGTCAAGACAAAGAAATTACCTTACCTCTCTTTGTCAGTAGGTGATGTTTTTCTCTCTCACCTTTCACTGATGTGGCAGCCATTTGAGTTTCTCAGGCAAATGCATGGGTCTCTGTTCCTAATCTGTGCCTCACTAAAGCCAAGGCCTACCAGCCTCCTCCCTGAGCAGAGGTCACTAAACTGAGGACTGGGCGTCCTGGGAGGTGAACCCACTCAGGGAACCTGTCATCAATGCCTTTGCCCACATCTCCATCTTGTGGCTCCCTCCCTCTTCACTTTGGTCCCTGGAGGCTCCTCGTATTTTCTTATGAGCCTGATATGCATTTAAAGGATGTGTTTGGTGTTTTAATCAGAATCTGCAGGTGTGTGATTAACAGGAGAGATCTTCATAATGTTCAGGCCACCATGCCCCAGCAGTGGAAGTACTTGGAGAGACCCTTGAAGAGTGAATGGGACTGACCAGAGGTGTTGAGATCAAGGCCAGAGAGAGGCACAGGGGCCTGGGGAAGCAGGACCAGGGCACGTGGAAGGACAGAGTATGAGCTGGAGTAGAGGTGGAGCTGAGGAAAGAGACTAGAGGCAGGACAGCTTGGCAGGTTTTCTAAGGAATGTGGACTTCTACTCTAGAGTAGAAGCTCCTTAGAGAGAAGATCTGTGTTTTTCTTGTCCTTGTTGCCTTTTCCCCTAACCTCAGCTTAACACAATGATTGCACAAAATGCTCATTAAGAGTTTTAAATGAGAGAGTAGAAATCATGACTCACAGGCCAGCAAATTTACATGTTTTTAGAGATGAAACAAGTGACTGCAAACAGGGCAGGTACATGAGAAGCCTGCTACAGGCACAGAGGGGTCATCTCTTGCTGGCAGGAAGGTGAGGGAGGCCTCTGCCCTCTGGTTCTGGCTGACTCTGCCTCAGCAAGACATCACTTGCCCATTCTCAGCTTCTGTCTCCTCATCCTTAAAGTGACAGAGTAAATTAACTCTAAGGCCCCATCCGGGACTCAAGCTGTGTAGTTCTACAAAAGTGAAAATTATATCAATAATCTCATTGTAAAATTCCAAAAGAAAGTCAAGAGACTAGCAGAAAGATAGGTAGGTGAAGGGATATCCTGGACAGAGCCTGGATCATGAGGTCCCCAGGTAGTGCTTGTACAACACAGATGTTTCCTCTTGAACTATTTCAAAGGTGTGGAAAAAGCCAAAGCAATGCCCTCTCCACGGATACTAAAGACTCACCTGTCCACTCAGCTGCTGCCACCATCTTTCTGGGAAAACAACTGCAAGGTAAGACAGCAACAGCTCCCTGTGACAGATGGGAGAGTAAGCCCACCAGAGCAAGTCCTGCAGACCCCAACGCAGAACATCCGTCATCACCTTTGCCTCTCCGCTGTCTCTGATGCTTACCAGCAAAGAGAAAATGTGAAGTTCTACACTTAGCAGGACATGCACCTGAACAGTTTCAAAGAGGATATGAAGGCAGGAGCCAGACTGAATTTTTGGAGGGAACTAGAGACACAGGGAGGCAGTGAGTGCAGGTAGTGTGGCTGTGAAATAAAGCAGGGAAGGTGGTGGTCCCAGGCTGTAGGCCAAAGGGAGGCCCCTAATAAATGAGGGAGGGAATAATGAGAGGAAAAGAGCTAAAGATCTCCCCAAAGGATAAACAGATGAACAGGCAGAGCAACGCTCCTGAGGACACCTGGCCTCAGCCTCTGGTAGACTCTGAGTTCCTTGTTTTATTTATTCTGTGACTATATTTGTATGCACCCTGGTGCCTAATACACCAGGCACATAGAGGCCATTAGACACGTGCTTGCTAAGTAAACCGGAAGTGGCTGTGAAGCATGTGGAGTCAAGGGTACAAACTGAGCTGCCAGCCTTGGTGAGAAAGTAGGGCACTGTTTCCTCAGAGGCAGGAATGAAAGGAGAAGAAGGGCTAAGAAAGATATGTTTCTGGGGGACTGGAGTTAAGTTGGAGGACTCATCAAATGACTTCAATCCTTTCAGTAATGTTGGATAAGGAGACAAAAACTTCCATGTCCAGGATTATGGAAAACTAGGTATTCTGAGTCCCTGAAACCCTTTTGTGTAAGCCATCCAGGAATACTGCGTAACAAACACAAGTTTTCTTTTAAATGCGTAACTGAGATCAAAATAAAGTCCCTAAGCTTAAAACCTGCAGAGGAAACTGAAACTCAGAGAGGAAAATTGAGACTGGGGCTCTTCTGGGGAAATATGACCTGGATAATCCAGCAACTTGAGTTTTAATGGCTGCACAGGGTCAGCGTCAAAGCCAGGACACAAGGAACCAGAAGAATGAGGAGCCAAAGCTGGGACTACTGAAGGGCAACATCCTCAATGGATGGGTGGAGGAGGCAGAGGGAGACCCAAGGGAACTGCTCTGCTTTGACCTGGGCTCTCAGCTCCCTTGAGAATGTGTAGCCACAGGTTTCCTCTCCCAGGGTTTCAGATTCAAACTTATACTCCTTACCTTGTCCAAGAAACTACAAGCAGAGAAATTAGCACAAGGTGGTCCCCGCTGCTAGTGTTCCAAGGTCCTCTCTGGAGGGACACAGCTTCAACTCAGGTCCCATAGGATCCCCACTTGAGCTCACTATCCCACATTACAAAATACACAAAAGAACAAGCTGCCATGAAACACAGTCTTCAGAAAGAACCCACAGCAGAGTAAGACCTCAAGAACTTCAGACAATATAATTATCAGCTCTAGAAATAAAATAAGGTTCAAGTTGTGTGAATAAATGAAAGAGTGAATCAAAGATAAAGAAAAAAGATACACTTAGACATAGAATTATTAAGTAAATAAATGGAATTTCTACAACAAAAAATATACAGTCGTTGAAATTAAAAACTCAAGAACAGGTAAAGCTGCACCGAGAATCAGTGAACTCAGACAGGAAGGTTTGAGGGTAGAGGTTTGAGGAGAGAGGAGAGACCTGTGGCTGGAGCTAAGAGCTATGAGAGGGAGCACGGGAAAATCTAATAAAGGATTATCAAGCAGCAAGGAAGAGGAAGAAAACTGAGGATAAAAAATATAGAAACTCAGGGGGAATATTTTATATCAACATTTCTTAGAATCTTTACTGGTGCTTGCAGCTTGGTAAGTTGGAGAAGAGAAGATGGGCAGTAGGACTTAGTAGATAGTAACAAAGTCAACGCCATCAGGAGCAGTTTCTCAACCTCAGCACTTGTTCTAAAGGGCCTGGGACTTGATTTAATAAGGCATGGCAAGACACACAGGCATAGTGGTGACTGTCATCAGGAAGACGTGTATCTTCGCAGATCCCTAGAAGAGGAGGCACGGCACGTCACACAGAGCCTCGCAGGGAAGCATGGGGATAGGCCAGGAGGCAGAGAGATTGAGCGGGAGACATGGGCAAGAGTCTTGATGTGGTTTCATTGGGAAGGAACAGATGAGGCAGGATAAGCAGGCTTGGGATTGACCAGTTTAAACCACTGCCGCAGGCTCTCGGGCACAGGGGTTGGGCCTAGTGGTCTGGTATCTGACACTGGGGTGGTCAGGGCAGGTAAATAGTGACCTAGTATGTAAGAGCCCAACAATGGAGGTATTCGGGGTGTAGGCTCTGGGGTGTTATAGGCAGTTCCTCCAGAGTAAGCAAAGCCCCAAGATATTAAAGCATCAGAATACAGAATATAAAAGATAAAATTCATACAGCACTCCTGACATTTGGGGCAGATTTTTCTTTCTTGTGGGTGGAGCAAGGGAACACTTTTGTGTATTGTAAAATGTTGAACAGCATCCTTGGCCCCTACATAGATGCCGGTAGCACCACCACTCCAAGTTGTGAAACCAAGAATGTCTCCAGACATTGCCAAATGTCCCCTAATGGACACAATCATCCCATCATTCCCAGTTGAGAACCACTTAAAAGTGAAAAACAAAAAAAGCACAGCATTGAAATAGCTGATCATAGATCTGAGATGGGTAATCAAGAGGTCCATTTGGGATTGATGCTGTTAAAAGTTCAAATTTGGTAAAATGAAAGGTTGGAGGGTGGAGGGATCTGAAGTTGTGGTCAAAGTGGAACTGGAAGGGATGATTGTAGGGGCAGAGCTGAAATAATTAGAGAAGGAAATCATTCAAGCTGAGGAGGCCAGGAGAAAAATAGGAGCGCTTTTCTTGCTCTGTGGCTCAAACTCTTAAACATGAAGCTTCTGTGCATCTTTGGGAGGGTACTCGAGGGGTCAGCAGTTTTGGCTGATACCGTTGGAAGTCTCCTATTCACGTGGCAGGTCATAGTTTATAGAGAAAGATTTTGCTCCTGATACCAAAGGGGAAATCAGGTAATCTAACCACCAATCCCTAATCGATGAGCTAATTAAAAGGACTGAGTTTGCAGTAGAGAGCAGACTTGGCAACAAAGCAGAGACAGGAAGAGGAGAGAGGTCACGAGGCCAAGTCATAGGGCCAGCACTACAGACCTGAGCCAGAGTGCACAGCCACTCTCAGGATGGCTCCACCTAAGGGAACTCTGTGAAAGTCCACTTTTGACCCACCTCTTTTCTTACCCCAAAGTTCCTTTATGTAGCTCGAAATGCCAAAGACTGTATGGTTTCCTACTACCATTTCCAAAGGATGAACCACAAGCTTCCTGACCCTGGTACCTGGGAAGAGTATTTTGAAACATTCATCAATGGAAAAGGTACAGAACATCCTTCACACCCTTGCATTCTCACTCCAGCTAGGCTGGGTCTAGGGAACCACAGGTGGCATTTTATCCCCTAGAATGCCTGTGCCTCGGCAAATGTGTCTTACCACAGAATGGGACTGGGCAGAGCCGGCTGGCCACTTTCTGAGTGTAGGCCCACAGCCCTCAGCATTTTCCATCTGATTCAAACCCTTTAAGTAGAGCCACCCTCCTTCCAAAGGGTGTCCTTGTCCCTATGTGATTGTACATAATAGACAGGAAGCTACTTTAGGGAGGATGTTGGAGCAAGTAACCCCAAGGCTGTCCCCATCCACATCATCCTCAAAATCAAACAGATTAGAACTCTCAGGACATATCTAATCCAGAATTTGGGTTTCCTCTCTCTAACTCACTTCAGGACAATCCCTAATACTCAGCAGGTTTTATACAATGCCTGTGTAAACCATTCTGTTCCTGGGTCTGTTTCAGTGGTTTGGGGTTCCTGGTTTGACCATGTGAAAGGATGGTGGGAGATGAAGGACAGATACCAGATTCTCTTCCTCTTCTATGAGGACATAAAGAGGGTGAGTGAAGGCTCTGCAGAAGAACCAGGTGCAGAGACATTCAAAGTTGTTTCAAATGATATCCCAGAGAATCGTAGTATTTGTTTCTGATACACTCATCCATTCAAGTCCGATGTTACCCTTGCCACAGGACCCAAAGCATGAAATTCAGAAGGTGATGAAGTTCATGGGAAAGAACTTGGATGAAACAGTGCTAGATAAAATTGTCCAGGAGACGTCATTTGAGAAAATGAAAGAAAATCCCATGACAAATCGTTCTACAGTTTCCAAATCCATCATGGACCAGTCCATTTCCCCCTTCATGAGGAAAGGTATGTGGGGCCTCTTTATCAGACACTCAGATTGTCTTGTAACATTGTCTCTGCCTGCCTCTTAGCCGACAATATTGGGTTTCATTAGTTCCAAGGCAACACACTTCAACTATTCCTAATATGTGTTTCTAATAAAACCAAGGATTTGATCTTGTTGTAGAAGAGAGCTTTCTAGGGTCTTGCTCCAGTATTTGGTTGCAAGGGACAGAGCTAGCCCCAGTGAAAGGAGCTTACTGTGAGGATTCACACTAGGCAATAAAGGAAATGCAATCACATAGAAAACTAGGAAGAGGAGCCACCACTGGTCCAGACCTCCCGAGGGCCCCTGGATCGCAGGGTCCAGGACTCAGCAGCAGGAGGGATGGGTCTTTGCTCCAAGGTTCCACCACTTAGAGGACTTGGCTGCTTTTCACATATCTGTCAGGCATGGACTCCTCTGCTGACCAACTTCCCGTCTCTCCACCCATTACACTTTTCTCCTAATTTATAACTTCTGATGACTCAGTTTCTGCCCATAACTTGGTCTTGACCCTGGCCCAAACCTGCTCTACTTCATGAGTTTCAGTTACAACTACTGTTGAGAACTGCCTCATCCTCAGTTTTTCTTTGTTCCAATTCCTGAAAGAGAAATTCTAATTGGCCCATCTAATATTTTTTAAGAAATCCTTTATCCCTTTGTAATTTAAAAAGCATAGCATGTCATTGTTAAATATTAAACTGGGCTGGGCAGATTGGCTCATGTCCATAATCCCACGTCTTGGAAGACTGAGGCATGAGAATTGGTTGAGGCTAGAAGTTCGAAATTAGCCTGAGCAAAATAGCAAGACCCCATCTCTACAAAAATATTATTTAGCAGGGTGTGGTGTTGCATGACTGCAGTCCCACTTTCTCAGAAGGCTGAGGTGGGAGTATCACTTGATCCCAGGAGTTTGAGAATGCAGTGAGCAAGGACCTTGCTACTGTACTCCAGCCTGGGTAACAGAACAAGACACTAGCTCTTTTTAAAAAATAAATTCAATCAATATAAAATGATATTCTTTAAAGGTCTCTTGACCAAAACTCCACCCCCAATAAGTAACTACCAACAGTATGGAAGTCCCTTTCTCTCTCATTTATAACATATACATTTTTTATTCACTACAGTGAAATCATGATGTACACATTGCTTTGAAATATCTTTTCTTCTTCCTCTTTGATTTTGCATGTGCTTGAATTTATGCTCTTGCATTTTCTGATCTACAACAGTATTCTATACCAGTGAAACAAACCAAAAAATTCTATCCCTTTTCTCTTTGGATAGTCAGTGGTAATGATTTGTAAAGATGCCCTTCTTCAGGCTCATACAAAACCATCTTTCTATACACCCTCCTTCTTCAGACTCATACAGACACAAAGATATGTAACCATAATGAAAGCTTGCTCCCTAAGATGCAGAATGGGGTCATATTTTATAGGTTTACTTACCAGGATATGAGACACCCCTCCAGGGCAAGGCATATAGACGCATATACCTCATTGATTTTTGTGGTCCCATGTTATACCAAGCTAAGGATACGTCATAACTCATCCAACTATTCCCCTAATGATATACACTATAGTTATTGTTGTTTTCAATGTTTGTTTTTCTGCATAATGTTACAGTAAATATCTTTGTGCATAAATTATTATTTTCTGATGGTTTTATTTCTGTTGCATAATTTTCTGGGAAAGGCATTGGTGGGGAAAAGAGTATTTTCCCTGTTTAAAATTAGTTTAAGTTGTTGCTTGGTGAAAAAATAGTATCTCATTCACATTTTTCCAAAATTGTTTTTTATTGAGATGTAATCAACATACTAAAAATGCACAGAACTTAAGTATGCAGTTCAACCCATTTTGACAAATGTATATACCCACACTACCAGCACCCCAATCAAGATATGAAACATTTTCATCACCCCAGAAAGTTCCCTCTGATGCCCCTTTTCAGTCAATGGGGCACAAGAGGGAACTTTCTGGGGTGGGAAAGTTCTGAGGGAACTTTCCAGGGCCAACATTTTTCCGATTTCTATTACTCTAGATTGATTTTACCTGTGGCCGGACTTCACATAAATGGAATCTCACAGTATTTACTTTCTTGTGTCTGGTGTATTGTGCCGAACATAAGGTTTTGGGATTCCTCCATGTTGTTGTGTGTCTGTAGTTTATTCTTTTATGCCTATGTAGTAATCCATCATGTAAATATGCTACAGGTAGGGCCAGGTCATGCAGGCCACTAGCTACCTTGGGTCAGTTGTCCAGCTGACTTAGAAGTCCATCCTCCTGCACAGAACCCCCTAGGACTGCTTTTTAGAGCAGAGCTGCTCGTGGACAGGTGTCCACGGAAGGAGGAGTTGGGTGAGTCAGGCATACAAACAGGCCAGATTCAGTATGGGCACTACACCACTTTACTCAGGGACACCACATCTTTCAATCAGAAAGTCACACTCCTGTCTGGCCTTTCTTTTTCTAGGAACTGTGGGGGATTGGAAAAACCACTTCACTGTTGCCCAGAACGAGAGGTTTGATGAAGTCTACAGAAAAAAGATGGAAGGAACCTCCATAAACTTCTGCATGGAACTCTGAGCAAGATATAAATAAAATTAAAAGGTGGATGGCAAGAGTGCAAATACTGTCTTTAATCCTTCAGTCCCAGCCAGAAGAATCTCTGAAAGCCTACTGTGAATGTATATGATGTGTACAAACTATGTCTGTGATGATTAACACTATGTAACCACTACACTTTTAAAAAAGGATCATGTCTAATGCCCATTTTCTCAACTATTCTTTCCAAAGTAAGAAATAAGATAGCTTAATAAACTAAGTAAAAGATATGACTAGAATACTAAAAAGATCATTTTAATCCCCATTATTCTCAGAAGTGTGTCCTAGTCCAAATATTAGGTTATGTCTATATTAATAACAAAATTTCTGGCATCTGTCCTGGCCATTCAGGGAAATCCAGTCTGGGCTCAGTCCTGGAGTTCTGCCAGGTCACTATTGGAAGGAACACTTTGAGGGCAACTGTGGTACAGCCAGCCCTGAGGAAACATGGCCTGATTGCCCTCACTGGCAAATGGGAATAAAATGGAAGTGCACAGAAGAGATGTCAGAAGACCAAAACCTGGTTAATAATCCTAGCACTAGGTCATATAGAAAACAGAAAGCATGATGGTGGCCTTTTAGGAACCCAAGTTATATTCTGGTGAAAGCAGAAAGGAGAAGACAGTATGGCTGTCAACAGTGTCATCACGGGCATGGCTCTCAGGCATGGAGGTAATTGGGTCTTGGCTTCAATGCTACCCGTTTGGGAAGCCCTAAACCAAGTGAGGAGTTCTTTTCCCCCACTTCCCATATTTGTCCCAGTTGCAGGCCCGTTGCTGTGCATTTACTCATCAATTTCTTATCTGTACCTCTCACTCAATTGTTAATTCTTTGGGATTCAGTCTCATGCAGTATTTACTCCTAGGACCTAATGCAGTGCCTGGCACACAATAAGTGCCCTTGAGAACTTGTTGAGGGAATAAAAAAATGCATGGATAAATGACTACAGCAAATGACAATTTCTCAACTTTGACACTTTTTTTTTAGTCCCAAATAGTGGCATTCTATAGCTTTGGGTAATAGAAGCAGTTCACCCTGGGATCAGGCAATCAGAGGAAGCATGAAGCCAACTAAAATTCTGACTGCTTTGTTGGATTTTGGAGAGTATTCTTTTTTTTAAATAGGGCCTCACTATGTTGCCCAGGCTGGTCTCAACTGACTGCTTTTTATTATCACCATACACTGGCAATTCCAAACAATGTCAGTGTTAAAATACTTCTCCCTGAAAATAAGAAAAGAAAAACTCCTCTTGGCCTAAGTTCTAAATAATAGCTAGGTTACTACTGAGTTTTAATTATATGCATGTGAGCTTCAAATAGGCACCTTTTTATTATGTAAATAAATAAAAGTGATCTGCATCCCCACTATATTGTAAATTTTTGTTGTTTGGTTTCATGTCTTATTCACCTTTGCATGGAAATTAATTCAGAAACCCCAGGCATAGAATCTACCTTTATAATTGCAACAGGTAGGTGTAGCTCTGACTGCTTCCTTCCAAGGTTAAGTTCATAACAGTTCAGAATCCTTCAAGCTGACTTCAGGTATAACCTGTATCTCCAACCCTGCACTATTTGCATATTGCTGTTTAAACAGTAAATTTGCCATAGATGATGATGGCACAATGTTTGTAAAGGAAAAGAAGCAGAACACCTGAGTTTGTGCAACACTCTTATTCGCTGAAATGACTTGGGGTTTTCAGTTGTAACCAAAATATAAAACAGTAAAATTTCAGAGTGTGAACAGCAACATTTACATCTTTGTTTAGTAAGTACAAAGTTGTGCTCATACAGGAAGTTCACAGGCTTTGAATAATTACTTTAAAAATGAAATTTACTCTTTTCTAAGTGTTAATTATTTGTCTTAAAATTTAAGAATGAATCAAGAATATAAGACATTACACCAGTGGTATAATTTAGTAATTGTCTGACTTGTACTTTTTGTAGACATTTTAATTTTATTAAATTGGCATTCTGATTTTCTTACTGGCATGAGTCTATACACAAGGTTGAATAAAAGAAAAGTTTCACTGACTACATTTCTTTACTATTATCATTATTTGTCTCTGTGCATGACTAACACTGAAAATAATTTTGCTGTATACGGAAGTAAAGGTTTGGCTGTGTCCCCACCCAAATTTTATCTTGAATCGTAGCTCCTATAATTCCCACATATTATGGGAGGGACTCCATGAGAGATAATTGAATCATTGAGGTGGTTTTCCCCATACTGTTCTCATGGTAGTGAATAAGATCTAACGATTTTATAAGGGCTTTCCTTTTTCCCTTGACTCTCATTCTCTTCTTGTCTGCCACCATGTATGTGCCTTTTCACCTTCTGCCATGATTGTGAGGCTTCCCCAGCCTTGTGAAACTGTGAGTCTACTAAACCCCTTTTTCTTTATAATTTACTCAGTCTTGGGTATGTCTTTATCAGCAGTGTGAAAATAGACTAATATGGTAAATTGGTACTGGTGGAGTGGGGCACTGCCGTAAAGATACCCAAAAATGTGGAAGTGACTTTGGAACTGGGTAACATGCAGAGGTTGGAACAGTTTGGAGGGCTCAGAAGAAGACAGGAAAATGTGGGAGAGTTTGGAATTTCCTAGAGACTCATTGAATGGCTTTGACCAAACTGCAGTGTTTTGGGGGTAACTGGTGGGAGATAATTGAATCATGGGGGCAGTTTCCCCTATATTCTTCTCATGGTAGTGAATAAGCCTCACAAGATCTGATGAGTTTATGAAGTGTTTCCTTTTTCACTTGGCTCTCATTTTCTTTTGTCTGCTTCCATGTAAGACATGCCTTTCACCTTTCACCATGCTTGTGAGGCCTCCCCAGCCACGTGGAAATGTAAGTCCATCAAACCTCTTTTCTTTATAATTTACCTCGTCCTGGGTATGTCTTTATCAGCAGCATGGAAACTGACTAATACAAAGATAGTAATATAATAATAATAATAATTCACCCCAAGGTTAGCTATGATCCCAAATACTAAACTGCATTCTGATTTTTAATTGGTTGATTGGTGGTGGGTTGATTGATTGGTCCTGTTACAGAAAAAAAGTATTCAATGACACTTATTAAAGCACAGTAGGGCAGATTTTAGTCAGGACCATCTTCACACGTGTAGGGATCATGGCAATAGGGTCTTGCAGTAGAAGAGATTGTGTTCAACTCTTAATACAATATGGGCAAGTGGGAATTTATAGCCATGTAGAAGAGTGAAGAAGGAGGGATAGAAAATTACTAAGAGGAAACATCATGGGTAAGGGAAGGGATGGATTCTAGCTACAGTGATCCAACAGGATTGTTGCTAAAGATGGGCCAGGATGATTAGATATTACCTGGGTGATGGGGGAGGATGAAGAACCTGATCAGATTTCGAGAGCAGGGAGTTCCTACTAAACTGACTTAATAAAAACTGGATTTTTTTCAAGAAGGTACACAGAGGGGTATAGGAGATATGTTAGGAGCCTAACTAAAGTTTGGTCAAGCAATTAATCTCTCATTTGGTTTAAATTCTTTCTGCTTCCTTTTCCTTCACTAGCTAGGACCTCAACCTGCTTACTTTGAGGTTTAGTATTTCGAAGCACTTTGAAGTTTAATCCTGTGAGATTACATGGTACTATGAGTTTTTTTAAACATCCACAAATCACATTTAAATTCAGCTTCCAACAACCAGTGGAAGCTACATGGCAACTGGAACATGTAGAATCAAGGTCAAGAATGAAAAGCCACCATGAAGGTAAAGCACAGTGTTTTGCAACTCGACCAGTTGCCCACAACTCAAGCAAGAAGGGATCAATCAAACAAGAACAGAGATGCAAGAAATAGAACCAGTTCCAGGAAATTCAGTATTTAAGCAAAGATGCACAGGGCCCTAGCACATCCTGTCCCGCTATATGCCTGCACCATATGTATGCACAGCAGCTCAAAAGAAACAATTTTGTTTCTTTCCTCCTAAAGTTACAGCCATCCTTTATTTACTCATTTATTTATTCATTCATTCTCAATTGTACACATACTATGTGCCAGGTACTGTGTGAATGATGGGAATACAGTGGTGAGCAAAGGTCTTTCCCCTATGGATTTTATGGTCTAGGATGTGAAGCAAAAGTCCACTAAGTCATGACACATGTCACCAATTGAGGAGAATGCCATGCGAGATGGTTTCAGGCTTTGAGAGGCCACAGCAGATCAGCTGGGACTGGGGCCTGTGGCACAGCTTTCCTGACAGGACACGGTCCTTCCCAGATGTAAAGCATATGCTGGCTTTATGTACTCAAGAGACAGAGACTGGGCAGAGAGAAGGAGACCCAGGAGCAGGTTTGGTGAGGGGGCCTGTTTGAGGGCCAGGAGAAAGGGCTGTGAGGAAAAGAGCAGCAAGCTCATGGAGAACTGGCAAAATAAAGCCCCAAAGAAAGGTGGGCATGTCACATGGAGCCTTCATGGTGACAGGAGAATGTTAGACTTTATCCTAGGAGCATCAGGAAGCCCCTGCAGGCTCCAAGAAAGATGATGAAACATTCAGACTAGCATGTCAATATGTCCACTGTGGCCGTGCGGTACACACAGTAAGAGGGTGGGAGCCACACTGGTGCAGTTAAGAGGGCTGGGAAGTATTCATGGGTGTGGAGACTTTCAGGATTAAGGTAAGAGGTAGGAAGCTGGCCTCCCTCAGCCTCTCACACCTGGTTACAAAAGCAGGACATAGAATTTCAGGTTGACCAGAAGGTTACTCATTCCTTATAAAAAAAAAAAAATTAAGACAGGGTCTCACTCTGTTGCCCAGGCTGGAGTGTAATGTCACAATTGTGGCTCACTGCAGCCTCAACCTCCTGGGCTCAAGCAATCCTCCCACTCAGTATCCTGAGGAGCTAGGACCACAGATGTGCACCATTGCACTTGGCTAATTTTTATTTTTTACTTTTTGTAGAGACAGAATCTCACTATGTTGCCCCAGCTGGTCTATAATTCCTGGCATCAAACAATCCTCCCACCTTGGTTTCCCAAAGCACTGGGATTACAGGCATGAGCCACTGTGCCTGGTCTTTTTCATTTTAATTGCAGACACAGTTCTTTAGTACATAGTATGCTAAATACCACTGGAGATTCACCAGAAGAGAAGGAGCCATAGGAAAAGATGAGGGTGACCAAGCCTCAGATCAGCAAGCAAACTATGAGAGATTAGAGATCTCTCTAAAAAGAAAAATGTGGTCTGAGATAT